TCTATACAGGAAATAATCAAACAAAATGTTTTGTATTACAAGGACTCCACAAACAAAGTTCGAAGCCAATAGACTAATTATCAGCAGGACCAAACATACAAACATGGCTCGCTTCGATGTGCAACAGATTCCACAACAACAAAATATTTCAAAGTTAACAACAAATCCAAAAAGAATACACATTTGTATACATACACACATATGGGTGTATGTATATATCCTTTGTGTGTATTTGTCCTTTTGGTAAATCCATTCACTACTCACTACAATTATCCACTTACAATGGCAGTCCGATAATAATCATTATCGCCTCCACCGCCATCATCATCCGCGGCCACCTCGGCATATTGTGCCTATTCCCAACGACCACAACAACAACAAATAATCACTTTTGTACGAAAAAAAAACAAATCAAAATATATATGTATGTAGAAGAACGTATTGAGAGAAAGAGAAAGCAATAGGATCAAGGTCGCCAACAGACCCACTAACACATATACACCTACACATGAACACTGGATATTTGAGTATGTGTTCGCTGTTATCCTCATATGTTGAAATGTGAGCTTTCATAACATTCACTTTCATTTCTTTTCATTCATGTTCCCGGAGAACGCCCTCAACAACAACAACAAAAATAACGCCAACAAAAATGCTCCCTTGATATTTTGCAGTTATCCTGAAGTGCTTGGCCATTTGGGTTTCTCATTTCATTGGAGTGCTATGTGCGTGTGTATGAGTCCTTGTAGTGTGAAAAACATTCAAAGAAATAATGAACTCTATTAGTGACCCATATTCAAGGCTTCATTATACCCTACACAACTATGTTGTCAGGGTATTATAGCTTTGTGCAGCCCCAAGAGTTTGTAACGCCGCGAAATATTGGTCCTAGACCCACCTTTAAGTATACCGGTCGTCATATCTCAACTAGCTGAGTCGATCTAGACATGTGTGTCCGTCCGTCTGTCCATTATAATTTGTAAACACGATACAGGTCACAGTTATGAACCAATCTTCACGAAATTTCGCATATATGATGGGTTCGGCCCAATGAAGATCCCTTTTGCCGCAATTATGGGCCAAACATCGCAAATGTTTACATGGAGAGGGGGATCGGGCCAAAGTATAAGCATACCTGTTTTGATGAAGATCGGCCAATATTGGACCCTTACTTTTGCGTGAAAAATTACAAAATTTATATTCTATGGCGTATATATTTACCCCTGAAGGTCATAGAGGAGTGGTTGACCTTTAAATTGATACCAATTTTATTGTCGTATGTACTCAGATGTAGGAGTTACACTTAAATATTTGCAGTAGCTTACGTATTCAGCTATTACTACAATGGGTTACTACATTGTCACACTAGAGGGCCGAATATAGCTCTGATCGCTTTGAAATGTTCTATGAGGATCCAGGTATGGCCATGGACAACGCCTATAATTTTCGGTGATGACCAGATAGTAATATTGGGATGAAGTGGAGCGAAAACTTAAGTTCTTGTTTTTTTTTTCGAGTCGATCTATAGGCTACAGTTGAAAGCCGAACATCCCAAAACAACCCACCCAACCCAAGAAGAGTTTTTGGTCTTCTTTTAGGTGAAATTTTTTTTATACCTCAAGCGTCCTGAGGTCTGATTTTTCTTTCAAAAATGGTAATTAAGTCAACAAAACCCCGGGGGTTTGTTATTCTATAGAAAAATCCTTAGGTCTCCTGAGGTTTGTTTTTAGATAAAAAGTCAGTTAGGTCTTCTGAGGTCTTTTTTTTACAGAAAACAATTCCGCATGTCCTCTGAAGTCTGTTTTTTAAGAAAAAAAAAATCATCAGACATCCGAGGTAAAATCAAAAAATCAAAAAAAAAAAAAAAAAATCATCAGGTCTCCTGAGGTCTGTTTTTCTATAGAAAAAAAATATTCAGGTCTCTGGCCATTTGCGTAGAAACAAATATTAAAAATATTCAATTTATCAAAAATCAACATTTGAGGTTTTATAGGGCTCGACAAAGAAGAAGCTCGATGTTTGGGTGCCGCATCAATTAACAGAATAAATAGGATGGATGGAATTTCCATCTGCGAAGCCTTGGCCAAACGGAATGAGATATACCCATTTCTTAAATGGATGGTGACTGGAGATGAGAAATGGATCACATACGATCGTGGTCAAAGAGCTATTATATATTTGGCCAAATCGGAAGCTCCGAAGTATTTAAAAAAAGTTCTGTAATTAAAATAATGGATTTCTTTTTCCCCAACCTAATATCATGGACTAGTTGGGATTTATAAGGAACATTTTTATATTTAAAAATCAACGCCTCTGAATATAGCCACTATTCGTCCTTGGAAACATAAATATAACACAACTCGTCTATTTTGCTCCTTTTTAAAACAGGACCTCTATAGAAAATATTTTAAAAAATTACAACTAGGTCTGAGCACGACCTCTATATAAAATCTTTAAAGAATCCACGCCTTTGTCTCTTAATTTTTGTTTAAAAATCCAATCTGAGAAGGATCTCTACAATTTTTTTTTTTAATTTACGCAGACGTCTGGGTAGAACCTCTATAAAAATTCTTAAAAAAATTCAGAACCTCTATAAAAATTCTTAAACAAATCACGCCTACGTCCGAATAGGACCCCTATAAAAAATCTTAAAAAATTCAGGACCTCTATAAAAATACTTTCAACAATTCACGCTTAGGTCTGAGCAAGAGATATAAAAATTCTATAAATTGGCCTTGGCCTCTCTTAAAAATTAATTAAAAATGCACACCTGAATCTGAGCAGGACCCCTCTAAAAATGTTTTAAAAATCCACGCCTAGGTCTGAGCAGCACCTCTATAAAAATTCTTTTAAAAATCCACGCCTAGGTCTGAGCAGTACCATTATAATTTTTTAATATAACCACGCCTAGGTCTGAGCAGGACATTAAATAAATTCTTAAAAAACACGCCTTGGTCTGAGTAGGACATCTATAAAAATTATTTTAAAAAATCCACGCCTAGGTCTGAGCAGCACTCATCTATAAAAAAATTCGTTAAAAAATCCACGCCTAGGTCTGAGCAGAATCTCAATAAACATTCTTTAAAAAAATCCACGCCTAAGGCTAAGTTACTCATCTATAAAAAAAAATCCTTAAAAAAATCCAAGCCTAGGTCTGAGAAGAACCTCTATAAAAATTCTTTAAAAATTTCACTCCTAGAATTCATAACCTTCTCTATTAAATTCTCTAAAAAGGCCTTACTCCTCTCTAGAAAAATCTTTAAAAAATCCACGCCTAGGTCTGAGAAGAACCTCTATAAAAATTCTTTAATCAATCCACGCCTAGGTCTGAGAAGAACCTCTATAAAAATCCTTAAAAAATCCACGCCTAGGTCTGAGAAGAACCTCTATAAAAATTCTTTAATCAATCCACGCCTAGGTCTGAGAAGAACCTCTATAAAAATTCTTTAATCAATCCACGCCTAGGTCCGAGAAGAACCTCTATAAAAATCCTTAAAAAAATCCACGCCTAGGTCTGAGAAGAACCTCTGTAAATATTCTTCAAAAATCCCCGGCTACGTCTGAGCAGGACCTCTATAAAAATTCTTTAAAAATCCACGTCTAGGTATGAGCAGGACTTCTATAAAAATTCTTTAAAAGATCCACGGCTACGTCTGAGCAGGACCTCTATAAAAATTCTTTTAAAAAACCATGCCTAAGTCTAAGCATACCCTCTATAAAAATTCTTTTAAAAAACCATGCCTAAGTCTAAGCAGACCCTCTATAAAAATCCTTTTAAAAAACCTTGCCAAGTCTAAGCAGACCCTCTATAAAATTTTTTTTAAAAGTTTTAATCTTTTAAGTAATATTTTCAAAGGATCAACTGAGTATTCTGAGGGACCAGGAGAGAGAATTTTTAAAAATTATTTTCTAAGGACCAAAACAGTATCAAAAGGGTACCTTTTTAAAATATTTTTCTAAGGAAAACATGTATTTAGGTACTTCAAAAATGCTCTCTATCAAGGATCTAAATACATTTCTATTATTTTTCGAAGGATAAGCAGAACTTCTGGTGTGAAATTTTGTAATGAAAAAAATCAAGAATTTATTCGTTAATATTGAAAGTCCTAGGGTTTTTTTTTATGAAATAATTAACTTAAAAAAATGCTAAGGATCACCATGGCCATAAAATGGCCATACAGAGACGTATTTAAGAATATTTTCCTAAGGGCCACAGTAGAGCTTTGGGAATATTCTTTTTAAAGATCAACGGATTAAAAAAAATACTATTTTAAGGATCAACTGTTTCAATGTTCATTTTTTATAACATCTAGAATATTTTACGAGGACCATCAGACAATGTATGATCAAGGACCTTTTGGGATTTTTAAGAATATTTTTCTATAGTCTTCTAAATTTCTGTAAGGCCCCAATTTTTAATGAGAAACATTGCAGGGACGTAAGATTTGTAACAATGTTTTTTTCTAGACTTTTGAAAGGACTGTCGAATTTTCAAAGAAAAATATTTCAAAAGGTCCTTGAAATGGATTTTTAAGAATATTTTTCTAAAGACTTTTAGAGGACTCCTAGGGCTCTCGACTTGATTTTTTTAGAGAAATTTTGTCAAGGACCCTTGTCTTCCACAAAGAAAAAGAAATAACACACAGTTCAATATACGACCTCCAATTCATACCCTTCCACTCCTCCATTTTGAACAGCAGCTATTGACGATTAATGGAGTGGCTCTGCTAGTCCTTATTTGACAAAATAATAACAAATCAAGAACACCTCTTAAAAAACACGCACTCTCACGCCTTGGGGCAGGGTCGGGGAGGGAACTGTATTTGTCAACAAAAACTGGAGTTATGGTCAAGTGACATACATACATTCACACATAGTTCGTTATATTTTTTTCGTTTTCAATATTTATGGTTTGTTTTTTTTTATTGGGAGGCCTTAGTGGGGCAAATTTTGTCCACCGATTTCCTCTCTTCCTCTCTCTATCTCTCTCGACCACTCACCTGTGTCTAAACAAATACCCATTATCCATTCGGTAGCCAATGTAGCGGAATCACAGCTAATTCCGTGGTTAACGTTTTTCTCCTATTTTTGTTGTTGTTTTTTTCTTTCGTACCGCTCAGCTAACGAAGCCACAAGAAGGCGATGGTTAAACGACAAGGACAATGATTTGTTGGAATTTCGGTTTATTTGTTTTTTTTTTCTTTCTTTCCACCTTTTTTTTGTTTCTTTTATTCGTTTTTATTTTTTTATTTTGGTTTATTGTCCCACTACCTATTTTGGGTTGTAAGCAATTTTAATGAACCGTTATTAACTATTTTTTTATTATAATTTTCTCTTTTCCAATTTTTTTCTTCGTAACACCCAACTTCCGTATCATAAAACCCCCGTTCGGCGTATTAAAAAATAATTTAGTTTTACAATTTTAAAAGGGGATAATTCCGAATAGTTAATGCCACACCAATACCATCACCACCACCACTACAGTTCGTTTACGTGACCCGACATAGCAGTTGCCGACTTCATTGTTTCGAAAACAAGCCATTTCGATTTTTTCGTTTTTCAAAATTATTATCCGTCTATAAAACAATTATTTTAAGTGAAATATCCTGTTTTGAATTTTTTGTTGTTGTATTTGTTGTTTTGTTGTTTTATTATCACAAACTTGCAATCTCAAATCATAAATATTAGAATATTTCAAACACTAATTATTATCATTTGTATTGGAGGGACTTCGTCGTTAGGTTTCGGCGTTTAATTTCTTTCGCTTTTTCATTCCGCTTGGTTCGGCTCTCGATATCAAACTAAACTTTGACATTGTGAAATAGATGAGTTTTTAGCTTCAGTGCCGGTCTGGTGGTCGGTCACACTAACTGCTAGACCTCGTTCATGAATATTTTATCTGTTCTAGCAGTGGTGAGTGGTTCGGTTGTGGCTGCTTTGAGCTACACACCCTACAAAGGGTAATATGAGACCAAGCAACTAAAAAATTTTTTTTCAGGGACCTATACAAGGCATGCATTTTTTTAAAAATATTATTTCAAGGCGTGGATTTTTTAAAAAATATTTTTCCAAGGCGCGGATTTTTTAAAAAAAAAATATATTTTTCCAAGGCGCGGATTTTTAAAAAAAAATATTTTTTCAAGGCGCGGACTTTTTAAAAATATTTTCTCAAGGCATGGATTTTTTTTTAAATTAATTTTTCAAGGAGTGGATTTTTAAAAAATATTGTTTTAAGTCGTGGATTTTTTTTTAATATTTTTAAGTCGTGGATTTTTTTTTAAATATTTTCAAGGCGTGGATTTTTTAAAAAAATATTTTTTGAAGGCTTGGATTTAAAAAAAAAAAAAAAATTTTCAAGGCGTGGATTTTTTACAAAATATTTTTTCAAGGCGTAGATTTTTTAAAAAATATTTTTCAAGGCGTGGATTTTTTAAAAAAAATTTTTCTCAAGGCGTGGATTTTTTTAAAATATTTTCTCAAGGCGTGGATTTTTTTAAAATATTTTCTCAAGGCGTGGATTTTTTAAAAATATTTTTTCAAGGCGTGGATTTTTTAAAAAATATTTTTTCAAGACGTGGATTTTTTAAAAATATTTTTTCAAGGCTTGGATTTTTTAAAAATATTTTTTCAAGGCGTAGATTTTTTAAAAAAAATTTCTCAAGGCGTGGATTTTTAAAAAATATTTTTTGCAAGGCGTGGATTTTTTAAAAAAATATTTTTTCAAGGCGTGGATTTTTTAAAAAATATTTTTTCAAGGCGTGGATTTTTTAAAAAATATTTTTTCAAGGCGTGGATTTTTTAAAAAATATTTTTTGCAAGGCGTGGATTTTTTAAAAAATATTTTTTCAAGGCATGGAATGTGTGCACCTTGTACAGAACAGGCGCAGTTTTCGCTTTGGCGGAAGTACTCAAGAAGTACCAAGCCGATATTATTGCCTTACAGGAAATGCGATGGAAAGGGACTGATGTAAGTAAATCGGATGATTACGCCCTGTATTATAGCTACCATGAAACGAGACGTGAATTTGGCTGCGGATTTATGGTTAACAGGAGAATAAAAGACCTCGTCTCCAGATTCACTCCAGTAGATGAGCGAATTGCTATAATGCGCATAATAGCGAAGTTCTTCTACATCAGTGTACATTTGCGCTCATGCTCCAACCGAAGATACAGATGAACAGACCAAAGACTTATTTTACGAGCGCCTAAAAATCTGCTAGGAGATTTTAATACAAAAATCGGAAGGGAATATATATATGGCCCCACCGTCGGAAAGTTCAGCCTCCATAAAGAAATATCAGACAACTGCATGAGGTTGATTGACTTCGTGACAGCACCGGATTTAAGCATCTCGATATACACAAGGCCACTTGGATTTATCCCGATCGAACAACGAGACATCAAATCGATCATGTTATGATAGACGGAAGACATTCGTCCAGTGTTTTAAACGTTCGATCGATCCGAGGAGCGAATATCGATTCGGACCATTACCTTGTGGCTGCCATGGTACGCACCCGCCTTAATGTAGCAACAAAGGTGCGATCTAATGTAACACGGAAATTTGACGTCGAAAAGCTGCAAACACAACAGGTAACCGAGGCCTACTTTGCTCAACTTAAATAGAAGCACAGTGGCAGAGAATTGCCCACATTCTACAAACTGCAGCAACATCGACACTTGGGTACCAAAGACCACCATCAAGAAATCGGTGGTACGATCAGGAGTGTCGTAATGCTACTGATATGAAAAACGCAGCGTATATGGGGCAACCCTGCGTACAGTAGCAACGCGTAATGCGATGGAGAACTATCGGAAGAAACGGAGAGAAGAGAAACGTATTTTCAGAAAAACTAAGAAAGAACAAGAAAAACGCGAGCTTGAGCAAATCGAAATGTACAGGAGTCAGAATGAAGTCCGAAAATTCTACCAACGGGTAAAACACCAAACCGAAGGCTTTGGTGCAGGCACATACTCCTGTAGAGATGAAGAAGGAAACCTGGTGACAGATACAGACAACGTGCTAAGGATCTGGAAGGAGCACTTTGAAAAACTTCTGGTATCAAATAGTAGCGGTACAGAGGATACCCCAGAACCAATAATAGATGACGGTATAGAGTGTATACCACCTAGCCAAGATGAGGTCAGAATAGCAATTAATCGACTGAAGAATAATAAGGCAACAGGTGCCGATAGGTTACAAGCCGAACTATACAAGACTGATGGTCTGATGCTGGCCAGCTGATTAGTACAATTTGGCTAGAAGAATGCATGCCTAATGATTGGAACCTCAGCATCCTGTGTCCCGTGCACAAGAAAGGAGACAAGATATGTGCCAACTATAGAGGAATAAGTCTCCTTCCCATCGCATATAAAGTGCTATCCTGCGTGCTGTATGAACGACTGAAGCCAATGGTCAACGACATTATACTAATGCGGCTTCAGACCTGGCAAATCCACCATTTACCAGATTTTCACTCTGCGCCAAATCCTGGAAAAACCCACGAAAAACACATCTACACATAATATCTATTGGTCGACAAAAGACCCCATTCGACAGCCCTATCCGTTCAGAGGTGTTTAAAGCCATGTCTGCGTTTGATATTCCTACAAAAAGAATACGGCTATGCAAGATAACTTTAAGTGGCACTAGATCAGCAGATAAAGTCGGAAAGGACCTCTCGGAGCCCTTTAATACCAAACGAGGATTCAGACAAGGTGACAGTTTGTCGTGTGACCTTTTTAATATCCTGCTGGAAAATGTCATACGAGAGGCAAAAGTGAACAGAAATGGCACTCTGTACACCAAACAACACATGTTACTCGCCTACGCCGATGACATCGATATAATGGGTCGAACACTGAGAGCGTTAACAGCCACCTTTGAACAAATTGGGAAGGATTCTACCAAAGTGGGTCTGGCAGTAAACGGCGAGAAGACCATGCTAATGGTATCAACGCGCAAGACGTTCAGTAGACTCGCCGGACCAACTGTGGAACTTAAGAACTACAGCTTCGAGGTAGTATAACACTTTTTATACCTTGGTTCCTCCATAAATAAAACGAATGACATCAGTTTGAAATTCGGAGAAGTATAGTGAGGGCCAACCGATACTACTATGGTCTGAGCAAACAACTCCAAAGCAACACCACCTCCCGCCAGACCAAACTCACACTCTACAAGACGCTGATACTACCCGTGCTGTTATATGGATCTGAAGCATGGATACTTGCGCAAACAGATGAGGCAGCTCTTGGAGTGTTTGAGAAAAAAATTCTCCGAAAATTCTATGGGGCGATCTGCGTTGAACCATAAGTTGTACCAGCTATTCTCGGACATCGACATTGTTAGACATATGTTGTGAGAATGGATGAAGATAGTTTACGCAGAAGGGGAAGGCCACGAATAAGATGGAAAGACCAAGTGGAAGCCACAGCATTGCCTAATATGGTCTCTCAAATTGGAAAAAACTGCGCAAAAGGCCGACGCGCCTGTAAATCTTTTTTAAGATCGGCTTATGAAACGAAAGTTCTGTCACAGGCCAGCTAAGTAAGTAATAGAAGGCGTGGATTTTTTAAAAGTTTTCTTCAAGGTCCTTTACAGGGCGTGGATTTTTTAAAGTATTTCTTCAAGGTCCTTTACAGGGCGTGGATTTTTTAAAAGTATTTCTTCAAGGTCCTTTACAGGGCGTGGATTTTTTAAAAGTATTTCTTCAAGGTCCTTTACAGGGCGTGGATGAAAAATATTTTTTAAGAAGTAGTGTCCTTGCAAGTCTTTGCGACCTTGTTGTGGAACATAAAGTTTGATTTCAGTTGACCCGTTGCTATCATTTTGTTCCCGGTTGCTATCTCTGCCAGCCATAAGGAGCGTTGCGTGACAATCCACTTTCCCCCACACCCCTCCGCAACGACGAACATTTCTTGGTCGTTATTTTATTTGAATTATTAGTTCTGGGCTCTCTCTTTCGTTTCGACCCACAAAAGAGAACTGCATGGAACGCCTGCTGTCAATTTTTGGTTGGGAAATACTCGCAGGTGTTTTGATTCCAAAATTTCATTTGAAATTGTTATTTTGGCTTTTTATTAGTATTTGTTGTTGTTG